CCTACTAGTTTATAATGTAAGATTAAAAATAACATTTTTTAGTGACTGAACAAGAGCTGCAGCTAAATCATAATAAAGATATACATAGTATTAAGGTAAAAAACGATATATGCAGTGTTATCTTCTTTTTAGATGTCAAAAGGTTTTTGCGGCTCCTGGTGTTTTCTTTTGTGTGGGAAACGGGTCCAAATGGCTGTTTGAGTGTTAAAGGTTGCCGACCCCTGATCTAAGAGAATTTTACTTAGATAAGAGAGGTGGCAATGTACAGCTGATTCTTAAAATTCTAAGAATCCAGACTTTTTAAAAAGATATATTTCTCTTTTTCCCCATCAGATATGGATATCTTTTTGAATATCTGGTGACAAATGCACTAAGGATACAAAATGATAAAGAAGTACCTAGAAGCTCTAATCTTTGTTTCTCAACTTGTAATCCTATCTCTTTTCAAAGACTGAAATGCATTTTCCCTCTCTTGCATTAAGATGTTGAGGGCACAATACTATGCATGTGTAGGCAGAAAAAAGTACCAAACTCTGAACATTCCCAGGCAGTATTGAAGAAATAGTGCATCCACCAGTACAGGTATATGAATTATGTTCATCTAACATGTAAATTAGCCTCACTACTCTGATTTATAATGTATGTACAGTGGATAATAAATCACAGTGTGCAAGCTGTGGGAAGTAATAATTCTGCTCTATTCTGTGTTAGTGAAGCCACATTAGGTGCACTTTGAAAATCGGGGAATGGTCAGAGTAGGAATGGATGATGTTTGAGATCATCATCATTCTCTTGCCAGTCACCTTGGCTTCCAGTTTGCATTTGTGATCCCTGCTTACTTTGCATGAAGAGTAAACTTGCACAAATTGAAAGATTGAAACAGAGATCTGTGCAAATTTCTGCCATAGATTAAAGCAGAACTGATTTGGTCTATGGAGGGAATTAGTACAATTGAACTAGGAATTATCAATGAGACAGGTGATTATCTGTGGTTTGTGAATATTTTCAGTGGACACATGCAAGCTTCAAATGGTGCATGTTTGTATGTTTTGCAAGCAGAAATGAAGTTCTCATTCATCCCTAGTTTAGAGAATGACCAGGATTTGTTAGGGAACTGCAAGCCAAGTTCATTGAAGAATAGTTGAAGTAGGGGTATGTTTATCCTGGACAAAGCAAGATTAAGGAGAAACATGGTAGTGATCTTAAGATATCTTAAAGACTGTCATTCCATTGATGGAATGGAACGAGAAGATTCATTCTCTTGCTTCAGAAAGCAGGACTAGAATGATTAGAAATTTTAGAGAAGCAGAGTTTAGCTAAACTTAGGAGGAGCAACTCTTGACAGTGAGAGCTGTTCAGTAGCGGAACAGACTGCTTCAGGAAGTGGACTGCCCTTCACTGAAAGCTCGGCAGGGATACTGTAGCTTCATCTTGGATTGCAAAGCCTGCATTGAGAAGGGAGTTAGAATAAATGTTCCCTGAGGTTCCTTCCAGCTCAGTAATTTTAAGAAATAATTGGGTGCATATGACTGCCTTCGTAGGGACAGTGCTAACAGCAGTAATAGAAAAATACAGGATGACATAGGTACATGCATTCCAGTAAAGATTTCAAAGCAGATTCTTGCCCATTATGGAGCATTTCAAGTAAAAATATGTATTGTCAAATAGAACAGCCTAGAGAGGGGAAGAGACAGAAAGGAGAGATAGCTACTGGTCTGTACAGATTTCTTTTTTTAGCAGGATCGAGTGTTCATTAGACCAGGACTGTTCATGGATGACATTCTACAGCAGAGTTGCATAGGTACCATTCTACATAATAACAAGCCTAAAACCATTTCAATGAAGAATTTATACATTGTGCTTCTCCAGGTGCCTAGCATTTTCAGGGGATCACAGATAGTGGTGTGGATTGGCTTGGAGGAAGAAGGCAAGTTGGAAAGCGATTACAGTGATGAAAAGCTGAACCTATTCAGAGAGGAGAGGTTAACTGAGCACATCTTGTTCAAGTGCATCCCAAAAATTGCAGCCAAAAGTGCACAGGAGTCACATGGTGGTGCTTCTTTAGTATCCTGATTTGCCACTCCTAACACAATAAAAGTTTGGTTGCACCTTCTTCCTGTTCAGCACCATTGCTGGGCCAAAGTCCCCATCCCCTCAGTTAAGCTCATACATATACACACTGTGGTGGCAGCCAAACTGGATGTTCTACCCATCAGCCAGCTGGCAGAGCTGGTATCCCCAGCCTTACAGCAGTGAACCCAGCCAAAACCGTGGCATTGGTTCAAAGATACTAAGTAGTTGGACTAGCTCAGAGTCCTTCCCTAAGTCTCTGTATCGGCTCACTTTTACCATTCACTCTACTTCAGATTCAGGATGCTTAATATGAGCCTTTTCATCTCTGTCCCAAGTGTATTAACTCTCTAATGTTCCTTTCTCTCTTGCTTTAATCTTCTTCCTCAAACTCATCTACGTTCTTTCCCCATATTTTACCAGTATATCTGCTATAATGCTTATTCCAATTGCTGGAACAGTTTCCTTTGTAATTCATCAAGCTTTCTTACCTTTCCTCTAAATTAGAATTCAGCTTCTGCACTCACCTATCTCAGTTTCCATGTTTGTCTATATTTGTCTGAAATATAGTTTGAAAGCTATCTTTCTAATTACTAAATGGATTGGATCCAGTTATTAAGAGTGTGCAACTGGACTAGCAGGAGTGAATTTCCCTGCCCTCTTCCCTGCAGTTACCCCCCCCCCCAGCTCTTTGAAAATGCTGCATGGAATGTTGGCAGACTGTGCTGGACAGGGGAGAGGGGAGTCGTGAAAATTGACCAGTGGCACATTCTGTTAGTGGAAATCTTCTGTTCACAGATGACACAGATGGTGGGGAATCCAGTCCATCAATTATTGTTTTGTGTGCTAAATTAAAGGCAGTTGAGAGGAAAGAAGTGGTAATAGAAGAATGGGGAGTTGAAGATATAAAGAAAGATCAAAAACATGCATGTCTGATAGTAGCTTTTAATAAATACATGCCTCAGTGGACAGAAGAGATGGATTTACCACCTCTGCAGTTCCTGTTAAATGTGCTGGGTATATCCCATTTATGCCAGTGGAAAAAATGCAAGAGATGGCATTCTAATAATAGTTATGTATCCTGGTAGTGCTTTAAAAGCCTAATGGAACAACTTGGACAAACAACATCTAGTGTAATGAAGTCATAAACAGTTGTAAAAATGTTTGGGCAATGGGCTGGGAAAGCAGAATCCAAGTACTAAATTTGCCAGTTCTGCAAGGATAAATATAGTGCTTCCAAAGTGGTAGAACCATTATACTGGTGGATACAACTTATTTCTGATTACCTTTGGTTGTTTTACTTGTCCCCTAATAGTCTTAGTTTATTTCTCATTAATCTATTTCTTGCATGGAAGTGTTGTGATTAATGCTGGTGATTTCCCAAAATGCTAGTTTCTTATGAAGAATTTACTTGGTGCACAATTCATCCACTGTCATAATTGATGCAATACTGAACAACTATAATGAAAATACTACAGTACTTTATTTACTACAAAGTTGTAAATAAATTATTACAGGTTACAGCAGATTGAAGATCATCTGAGGCTTTAACATTCCAGTGTTTTAATATGGTTTAAGTCTTGTCATACATTTGCTTAAGAATTAATCATGCATATTGATCCAAGAAAACTACAGTATTAATAATCTAATAAAACTACAATATTTTATAACAAAATATTTTATTTGATAATCAAATGTCATGACAGTGCATACTTAATGTATCATGGAAATTTGGTTGAAATTCTAACATTCTGGTTTGTTCTTTCTGCTAATTGTTCATTTTCCCATCATCCTAGCCTATCCTAAAGGGTCAGGACATTTTGCAATTTTTGGAACATATGTTTGTGAAAGCTAGGGCTGCAACTGTTGAAATTTTAATTGACCAATCTGATGAGTTTTAGCTAATCTCTCATTAAATGTGCATCAGCAAACACAGTATTTCTGGATCAAGAATAAGGCTTTATTAGATGTTCCATCCACATGCGGTGGAAGACATAATCTCAGCAGAGGAATTCTGCCTATATGTAAAGAAGGATGAACAAATTTAAGATGGTACAAATGTAAGATGGTACTTATGAATGGTAGGGATTATGATCCATCATGTTTTAAAAAATGATTTTGAAACTGCAGTTTAAACCTTTATTTTAATCATTCTCACTGATAATTGATTAAATATTGCAGCTCCAGTTAAAACTCATTGAGAGTTTGAGAACAGTATAAATGTTACTCCAAATGTCACTTTGGATAGGGTATAACAATGTGAAAGAAGGACTTCATTTGGCTTGAATGGGTTGTTGTTCTTGGAAAACCAGGGATTAATTGATGGCAACTACTACTGCTTCTGGCTTGAAGAGGAAGAGGGAGGGAGGTCATAGCCTAGCAAAGCTTGATAGAAAGCTTAGTGTTTAAATAAACCTTACCTTTGCTTTTAAGAGTCTGGGTGAGTCTGTGGGTTGCAATATACCAACTTAGAGGCATAAGCCATGTCCAAAATGTGCATTTTCTGTTTGTGTACTTGGCTGTGCATACTTTGGATCTGTGTTCTGAACACTGCTAAATGTTTATTTTCATGGCAAGCAGCAGTGTTTAGACCTTGCTTGCTGCAGCTTTGCTCTACTTGGAATGTAGTCTGTTCTTTTGCCATAGGCTTCAACTAGTCTAGAATCACATAGTGAAATCCTAAAGTGTTCATTCTTCTGCTTTGTAAGGCTCATAGACTATTGGAAACACATTATTTCACTCAATTATTCCTTGTTCAGTTCTTAGCAATAAATACATTTAACATTTTCTATTTAACCCAATAGAAATAAAATATAATTAATTGAAGATGTACTATGAATGAGTCCAGTAATCACTGGCCTGATGAGATGGCGGGGGGAGGCAGGTTTGTTAAATTACTGTGCTGTAAATAAATGTATCTTTCATTTCAGAATGTCAAGCCTCCATAACTGAATTGGATGCCTCCTTGGTGACTGAAAATGGATCCCATATCGTTCAAAGTTAAAAATCCTGAAGCAGCCAGTGATGGCTCAGTAGACTTCAGTCTCCAGCTAGTAGGTTCTCTTCCTGTCCATTTTTTAACCACTATGCCGGTACTTCCTTGGATTGTGGCAGAGATTCGGCAGCTCAGCACCCAGTCCTTGAAGGAAGAGCCCTGCACCAGCCAAATCCGGCTTTATGTCTCGCCAGACAGACTGAGATGTGAAGCAGACACAGGAAAAAGTCAGCAATGGGATCCTCTGATTTGTTCCAGTCTGTTTGAATGTAGGCCACAGCAAGTCCACAAACTGATTCACAACAGTCATGATCCAAGTTACTTTGCCTGTTTAATAAAGGATAGAGCAGTAACTCAGCAAAGTACCTGCTATGTATTCAAAGCTGATGATCAAACAAAAGTAAGTTGAATATGTTTGTTTACATTTAGAATTCTGAGCCCAAAAATTTGTTTAGAGTATGCAGACTAAAATAATCTCATAGTCTTTTCACACGGAGATTCATTTCTGGCTACTCTACCTCAGAGTTTTTCAGTTTAGAAGTATATTTTTGTTTTGGTGGAGGGGGAGTGAGTTGCTAAACAGCAGTCAGTGCTTGCCTTTATACCTTAAATCAGCCAGTAGATCCCAAGAGCAGAGATGACCACCTGTGTTTTACAGGATGTGCTACAAATTTAATTGATTAAATCATATGGTAATACATTAAATTAAATTATATAATAGAAAGATACTACTTCTATGGTGTTTTGATACAACCTTGGCTCTTTAGCTGAATACTTGATTTAACTCCTAATGCTGAACTTGTTCTTAAAACTAATATTTCTTATTTCTGCACATTTTGCCCATGTTATGAAATTGGTATGTAAACCAACTCTCCAACACATATGTGCAACATATATATTTGTCGTGTTCTAGAATGTAAGAATGATCAAATAATATCAAATTAGTACTCTGGGAATCTTGGTGTTTACTCTGTACCAATATCTGGAAACAAATGGGTCAATTAAGGAATGATTCTTCCCTTCTATTGAAGCTGTCATAAAAGAACAGCTCCAGATAAAGCTATGAATGTATTTTAGTAGCTGTTTATAATTTTGGATGTTATTCCGTTGTCTTTCTCATAGAATTTCCTTTTACTAGAGAACTGTGCAAACTGTAGCTTGGTGGTGGTGATGCAGGAAATTGTTAAAGAAAATTCTGAGCATCCTAATCAACTTACAGTGATTAGCAGTTGGGGGAACAGTTGTGGTGGTATAAAACGAATATAAATAAATAGTATCGATCTGCCCCCAAACAGTTAGTGAAACAGTTTATGTAGATTGCTTCATGGTGGCATTTCATTTAATAGTCATTTGAATGGGAGACAAATGATTCAGATCTTGACAACATGTATGTTCTTACACCTTACAATATGGAAGTCATCAGTTTTATCATATATCTTCCCCAAATAATCTGAGGATTGTATTAGGTGATTATGCTATGAATTCTTTGCTACCGACCCTTAGTCATCCTTACAGATGTACAGTTTTTTGGGGGGAAAGGAAAATCACTTTTAAGACTATATAGATGTACATCTTTATATTTTGGGCCACATGCTAATAAAAGGTGGTTTTTCCTAGCCTGAATTTAACTATGTGAATTGATAACTTTGTGTGTCAAGCCAGGTATGGGTAAATTGATAGTGCCAAGACTAGCAGGCTTAAAGCTGTTTTCTAAGAACTGTGATGTGCTGTAATGTTATAGATGTGCTTCTTATGTTCATAAGTATACAAAACCTTCTCAAGCTGATCTTTCTCTATTCCTTATTTACTTTACATTCAGATCTTTTAGGTCTATATTGAAAAGGAATAGAAAGAATGCCTGTGGTCGTCTCCATCAGTTATGTCATATTTTGGGCTAAGACTTTCCTTCATAACAACAATAGTAGTAATGATTTCCTGAAATACTGGGCAGTTTGCAATAATAATATTAATTACTGATCTCGGTCTCCCACAATGTCCATTCATATTGGCACTGTGGAAACTTATTTATTTATTTATTTAGAGTATTTGTATGCTGTCTAGAATTATAGAATCTACTTCCTGGATTAGTTCTGAGAACAGTTTGACATAAATCCTAAAGAATAAAACCTAACTTTATAAAGAGAATTGTATATTTTTAGTTGTCCTATTTCAGAGTATTCTTAACATGTTCTGGACTGAGATAACATCCTCTGACCATTTTTGCATAGATGTACATATCAAATAGACCACACATTTACAATGAAAAAAGAAAAAAATTACAAGGCCCTGAAGCTTATTGTGTAAATTAGACCTGATTAGAGAGAAACTTAAATCATCGTGGTCTTTGTTTCTATCAAGTAAAATAAATATTTTGTTTAAGAAATACAAAAACATTGCTGATGAGGGAGTGTTGAGCCTCCATTGTATTCCTGGTACTTGTTATCAGAAGGACACATATATCCCTGTTAAAATATTTGTCTATAAAAGAAATGTGCTATAGCAGCATTTTGTACTTACAAAATGGATGTGATTTTGGACACACTGGGTGGTTCCTCCATTGTGTGGAAGCTTTTGAAGTTGAAAGTGGCAGGTGGTTTTTTTTTTTTGTAAGAGATGTACTGCAGTTCAACTAGAATGAAGCACTGAGTTTATTAATTATTTTTGTGTTATCCAAGAGGTAGCTTGAACTGTTAAAATGGCCTGCTGGTACATTGGGGAGATTGCCAAAATGAACCTCTGTACTTTGGTAAAGATTTGCACAAAGATCTGAAAGACAGTGTGCCTGAGGTGCCTCTTGGCTTGCATATCTTTGAATAGGTGGTCCTCATGCCTTTTGGACATGAAGGGAATTTCAAAAGCCATTTGAGAGGAGTTTGGCTACTTGTTAAAGAAAAACTAGTTAAAAACTCACTGACAAGTGTGAGCTCTGTGATTCTCTTAAAGGAGCTCTCTTTTTGGGGAGGAGAGCAGGGGAGGCTCCTGACCATAGTGTTGAACATGAGAATTACAGCATTGAGTGTGTGCTTTTCCCTCTTGAATTAAAAAACCTTCAGAATAGGAAGGTGTTTATTTAAGAAAATGCATAACTAGAAACCATTTATAAAATAGGAAAGGCCTGGTATGGACTATTTAACACCATGGATTGTCTTGTTCAAATTGTACCAGCCATAGTTCATTATCAAATCAAAATCAGAACTCTTCTTCCAGCCATGGTTTGGATTCATGACAAACTTTGATTTATCTGAGCCAGACTATGATGGAAGGCATTAGGGGTAAGGGAGAGAAATACATGTTCCTTATGACCAGGCATGGTTTGGCTGATACCTGTGATCAGTGTGCCTTTATTTTTGACCTGGCCTATCAGATAAGGGTATAACTATAAAATGCAATTTAGTTCTATATTGCCAAATCTTGCTGTTTTTTCTTGGTGCCTTTAATCTCCTCTACTGAGGTCTGTCAAACAACTTTAGCAGGAAGGCTTCACCAGGAGATTTTGACCAGAAAACAAACATTTCTCAAATGTTTGCTCTTTAGAATGCAGTTGAAGTGTTCTTTCATATTTAATTTCTCAGGAATAGAAAGGAAGTGTCTTTAGGGACAAAATTAGGAGGAGAAAGAAAAGGGCTACACCACCTATTTTGGCCTCCTCCTGGATGTATACCTTCATACAGTGAGAATGTCTGAGTGTATCAGAGAAGATGAGAACAATGCTGCCAGGAGGCTGATCTCCTAGTCAGAATGGTCAGAGTTGAGACACACAGACTAAGATACATCCAGCCTCATCAGGAGTAACAGTCACATCAGCCGAAGAAAATAGGTATTTCAAATGGCAATGGCACAGAGAAACTCTTGAAGGGCCGCTACTAAGCAGCAACGGTAGTTTATGTTTACAATGATATGATGCAGGATTTTTCACAGACTGGTACTGTGGCAGAAGAAGGGAATGGTAATTCATTTCCAAATATTTCTTACATTGATATCTCTTTAATGAAACACTCCAAAATGGAGCAAGAACCAGTGCCTGAAGATGAAATTCTCAGGTAAGCAGGAATTCAACTAGCAACTGGGGAATAGCAAAGGACAAGAAAGAATGGAGTAGTGGGTAATGATGCGACTTGATCAAAGTCAAAAGGGAGCCTGGTAGATGACATGCGCAAAAGGAAGATACAACACTGTACAGCACATACAGTTAGAGCTTGGAATGTGAGATATATGAGTCAAGACAAACTGGAAACCAAAAAGCAAGTTAAAAATTCCAGTGCTTGATGTGCGTGAACCAAAGTGCACTGGAAGGGAACATCCTCAGTCAGACAAAGTAGCTCAAGCAGTAAAAGGCTATAATGCAAAGTCAAACTGAATCATATCAATTGGAATTTGTGGAAGACCTATCAACATCATTCAAGTCTGTGCTCCAACATCAGATGCTGAAGGAGAATAGAAAATTCTTATGCAGATGTTCAGGAGGAAATCAGTGACATATCAAAATAGGACGTGCTGGTAAGCACAGGTGACTGGAATGCAAAAGTAGGAAATAAAACAGAGTCCTATATTGTAGGAGAATTTGGTCTAGGGATCTGAAACAAAGAAAAAGAAGCCAACAAACATTGATAAGACAGCTCTACACATGGACATTTTTAGATTACCAATAATGAAATCAAATAGACTAATTGGATGTAAGAGATGAAGATGCTGTAGTCACCCTCCCAAAACAATTCAAACAGTAGATTGTGATGGTGAACTATTAATATAAAACTATTATATAAAAATCAGAGTCAAAAAAACACTAACAGAAGTATGGTGCCAAAATACAACTTAAATAACATTCCTGAGGAATTTGAAGTTGAAATAAAGAACAGAATTGTATTACTGAACTTGGTTAACTGTGAGCCAAAAGAACTCACAGAGCCAGTGTGGTGTAGTGGTTAAGAGCGTGGGACTGGACGATCTGGGTTCTGGTCCTCACTCGGCCGTGGAGCCAACTGGGTGACTTTGGGCCAGTCACAGACTCTCAGCCCAACCTACCTCACAGGGTTGTTTTTGTGGGGATAAGATGGAGGAGGAGAATGGTGTAAGCTGCCTTGAGCCCTTTGTAGGAAAAAGGCAGGATATAAATTGAAAAATAAGTAAATAAATAAAAAATAAATAAGAACTGTGGAATGAAACCAGTCATTATTAGGGAACAATGCCAAAAGACAATTCCTGTAGCAAAAAAAGAAAGAAAAGGCTTTGATAGAGAACAGAAGAAACTCAAAATTGCTAAGGATAGTTGTGAAGCAAAGGTGACAGAAATAGGGTAAGAATCCTGAATATAACTTTTCAGAAATGGTTACATAGAGACAAAAAGCTATTACGATGGCCAGTACAAAGAAATAGAAGAGAACAAAAGAGGAAACACAGGAG